AAGCCAAAGGGCCCTGGCCTGCAGCATCTGTGCCGTGGTATCGGCAAACTTCTTGTTGAAGGTGTCGGCGAAGGCTCTTGGCAACTCCAGCCTCACTTTGGCTCGCGGGGGGGGGGGGGGGGGGGGTTTGGGGTTTGGGGTTTGGGGTTTAGGGTTTAGGGTTCAGGGTTCAGGGTTTAGGGTTTAGGGTTTAGGGTTTAGGGTTTAGGGTTTAGGGTTCAGGGCACGCCGCCCCATCTCGAATTGGAACCTCAGCTCAGGGCTCCACGGCTCCGGCGTTTGCCTGGTTTCGCTTGGCGCGGGAGTGGGGTTAGGGTTGAGTTAGGGTTTAGGGTTTAGGGTTTAGGGTTTAGGGTTTAGGGTTTAGGGTTTAGGGTTTCGGGTTTAGGGTTGAGAGGGGAGGGTTTAGGGTTGAGACGGGAGGGTTTAGGGTTGAGGGGTTAGGGTTGAGGGTTTCAGGGTTTGGGAGCTTTGGTACAGAAAGACCGCTCTACACCCGCAACCCTAAACTCCCTTTCTCTTATCTCCAAACAGATGGGTGTGTGTGTATACATATATGTATGTATATATATATATATATATATACACGTACATATACATATATATATATATGCATGGTAACCCCCCCAAGACTGACATATGTATATATATATATATATATACATATGGCAGTCATAAACAAATGTGTATATCTGTATATACAAATGAATATGCTGTATTTTCTTTATATTATTCTATGAAATTGCTTCGCACTTATTCGTTATTTACCTTGAAGTGGCACTCTCCAGCAAGGCAGGGGGCCCATAGCTGCCTGCGTCACGATGTCATCCAAAAGCTGCCCGCTGGAAAGGTCAGGGTGTACCTTCAAGACTTACGACTTAGGTAATTCTCTAAATGTTTTGGGGGGCCCGTACTATACATAGCTACTTTAGAGAACTATTACCCGCTTCGGGTGAACTTCAAACCTGAGCCCTTGAACCCTAAAACCCTCAACTTTAAACCCTGGCACGCCAAAGATTGACGGAACAAAACGCTCCACAAAAATCATTTACGATCAGTCCTGGCCTTTTGAGGCTCACAGGCAGAGGCGTAATGGTTGAGGACAACAACCATAAGCCCTCGTTCCATAATTAATTGCCCGAAATCAAAACTCCTAAACCCCAACCCCCCCCCCCCCCCGCCCCCCAAAAAAAAGGAAACAAAAAAAACAGAAAACTGATGAGATGCAGCTGGGAGCGAGGGCTTTTGTCATGAAATCCAAAAATCTTGGGGGGGATTAGGGCTGATGGGTGCTCTCTTTAGGGTTTAGGGTTTAGGGCCCTAAACCATCAAATGGAGCTTGGGTGGGGTTGAGGTCGGTGGACATGAATGAACCCGGCCTCTGAGAAGCGGAAGATGCAAGAAAAGTACAGGCCTCGTAGTGTAGGGGTTTGGGGTTTCGGGTCTAGGGTTTAGGGTTCGGGTTTAGGATTTAGGCTTAGGGTTCAGGGCCCCAAAACACTAAACCCAACCCAGGGTTTAGGGTGTAAAGGTTTGAGTGTGCCTCTGTTTTTGTTTTGGACTTCGCGTTGAAGGCTGAAGGTGTGATTATATGTTTAAATATTTATATATGTATGAAGGTGTTATTATGTATCTATATATATATATATGTATGTATCCCTGTATGTGTGTATATATATATATGTAGTCTTCTTCATTTTTCTGTAGAGGGGGGCTTCCTATGAAGGAACTTCGGCTTCCAACCTCAGATGGAGTTTATTGTTTAGGGTTTAGGTTGTGAAGGTTCGGGGTTTCGGGTTCAGATTGCTCAAGGGCTTGCCACCCCCCACCCAAACCCTAAACCCTAAACCCTAAACCCCGAAATCCCAAAACCCCAAACCCTAAACCCTAAACCCTAAACCCCGAAGCCCCAAAACCCTAGACAGTTTTACTGCGGAGCTTGGGGGAGATTCGGGGGGTGAAGAAGCAGGCAAAACTAGAACGTCTCGACTGGTACGTAAGTTGGAGGCAAACCCTTTATCCCTTATTTATTACCTAAACCCTAAACCCTAAACCCTAAACCCCAAACCCCAAACCCTAAACCCTGAACCCTAAACCCTAAACCCCCCAAAACCACGAGCCCTAATCAAGCCTGAGTCTCCGGGCTCAGAACTTGCCACCAGGCGGACAGTACTTGCTGCACGCCCATCGGAGACGAGGCCTTGAGCTCTATCTGATAAGGTTTCGGTTTTAGGGGGTTAGGGTTTAGGGGTTTGGGGTTTAGGGGTTTAGGGTTTAGGTGTTTAGGGTTTAGGGCTAGGGTTTAGGGCGCAGGGTTTAGGATTACGATTTCGGGCCCCAGCTTTCTTGGGGGTGGGGTGGAGGGGGAGGCGCAGCTTAACGACGGGATATCAGATTCGAATCAGGATGACTTATGACAAGAGGCTCATGATAACCAGTGCTTGCAACAGTGTAACACAGTACACCTGTACCTCCAGCGATCAAACGAATGGTTTTGTCTGAAGGAGCTCGCAGACCTAAGCCCGGAACCCTAAACCCGAAGCCCTGAACCCTAATCGCGTTTAGGGTTTAGGGTTTAAGGTTTCGGGTTTAGGTTTAGGTGTTGAACTTAGGGTTTAGGGTTTAGGGTTTAGGGTAAAACCCTAAACCCTGCGGTTTGTTGCTTTTGGGGACGATTTGGCCGACGAACACTTGCGATTGTTGCTGCTTCAGCACAGATGGCCACCGCAGCAGACGGCAAGGGTTTAGGGTTTAGGGTTGAGGGTTGAGGGTTGAGGGTTTCGGGTTTAGGGTTTGGGGTTTCGGGTTTTGGGTTTAGTTTAGGGGCTGCCAGAGTTCCGGACAAAGCAAGGATATGGGAGCTTCCCAAGAAAGCATGGTCTGCACGCCCCCCTGCCCCCCCCATATACATATATATATATATATATATGTTTCAGGGTTTAGGGTTTAGGGTTAGTGGATCTCTGATTGAAAGGACCCCCCGTCAAAACAACAAATCCGAGACCCATAATTGCTGGCAGCCCAAGATTTGTTTAGGGATGATGGGTTAATGGGTCTGCGGGTTTGGGGCTTAGGGCTTAGGGTTTGGGGTTTAGGGTTGGTTGTTTTGTAGAGGTTTGCGCCCTATCGGCACCTACAAAGCAGCCAAGGGCTGTCTTGGTCAGAAGGCAAGCCTTTTTCAGGTTGACCCTTTAAGCTTCCAACTTATACTAGAACCGGGAGTAACCTAGGAATAAAAGGGTACCCTTTTTGGTTGTAAGGGGATTATATGGGAACCCCCAACCCTAAAAGAAGGAAAAAACGGGCCTACTCCCGGTCCTAGCAAGGGCCTACCAAGCCTATGTTCCTCTTCGCCCATTCTTACTAACTCTTAGATTGCGCGAATTCGCCACCCCTTGAATATAAAGATAACAGACAATGTTGCGCAGATGGCCTTGGAAGAAGCCATGGCTTCTGCAACTATGCAGTACTGCTTGAACAGAGCGAGCTTATCGGGGATTCCGGTGGGGCTTCTTGCAGTACAGCTGTGAGCCGGGGCGAATCCTCCGCACTTTCGCATATCATGCAACCTCCTGGTGAAGCCGAAATGGCAATCTGAAGGTCGGGCATGTGCTCGTGCCAGGCTACCTTGAAATAGAACTTAGGACATGTGCAGATGGATGCGCACAGCATGGGGGCTTGCGAAAATAAGGCTCGGTATAGACCCCAAATGATCGGATTCCCTTATAAAAGGGACCCCAAAAAGGTACCCCTAACATCGTAAACCCCCATATAGAAGAAAGCGTGGACGTCATACTTGCGTGTAGACCTTTCCAGGATGGTGGGCCCTAGAATCCCCATAATCAACCCTATACAGGGCCTTTTTAGGGGGTTATAGGGTATAATCGCCCATCCTGGTTGGGCTGCTAAGGACGCAAACCATGCAAGTTGCGGATATCTCGCTCACCCGGCCCCAGGCGCAGCAGCTCTTGATCCCGAACCCAAACCACCAAGCCTCCAACCCTGACCCATAAAAAGAAACGATATACTATACATTGTCTATATATATATACACATATATTCTACATACATACATACAGACATACATACAGTCTTAAGATGAATGCATATTAGATTAGATTTTATAGATCCTATCTTCTTCTCAATATGTGTGCATATGTATATGTATATAGCATTATATAGCATAACCGAATACATTTATAGACAACCTATATTACATTTACATAACTATTTTACTTTTCATTACAAACTGTGATCTAGTGTTCTCTAACAAAAGTGTTCCACATGAGTCGCACTGCCCATAAACTTCTGGCTGCCACGTTTAACGGGGTTTAGGGTCCTTAGAGGTTTAGGGTTTAAATTAGGGCTGAGCGTGATGTACTGGCAAACGGAATTTCTTGGAGCCTTCTTTGCTTTTCCTCCGAAACTCCAGGACGTGAACCTAAACCCTAAAAGGCCCAACGAGTAAGCTGTGAAACATCGACGGAAACCGCAGCTCGACGAGCAACCCCTGAACCCCCAAACAAACGTCCCAGAGAGCCCTTTACATGGCAGGTTCCTAAACCCTATGAGACTAAGCCTAGAACCCTATAAACCCATCACCCCATAACCTTATAACCCTAGAACCCTATAACCCATTCAATATGGGGGGGCCCTTTCACTCCTTGCATATTGCACTACACGCGCGATCGCTTGCCATTTAATATAAAAGGGAGTGAATGGGCAAGTGAACGAAGAGAACGAACAAGAGAAAGAGAACACACTAAAAGACCGTATCATTTTAATATTGAATACATAAGGCCTGAAAGAACGCATGAAATTTAATCTTTAAAATGCTGGCTTCTGCTAGTTTTTATGCCGTGCGAAATGTGCGCATGAATTGTACCTAAACCCTAAACCCAATACCCTAATTAAACCCTAAACCCTAAACCCCAAACCCTAAACCTTACACCCTAACCCTAAACCCTAAACCCTAAACCCGAAATCATTAAACGGTTGGCCTCGGTTCCAGGAGGCAGGATGACGTGGCGTGCGTCCACGCGCAAAGGGCCTAAGAGTCCAGCCAGGGCCCAGAAAGGCTCCTAGGAGTTTGCCTAGGGTTTAGGGTTTAGGGCTATATAGTATACAACCCGCTATATGTAAACCAAAAAGGAACTACAATAGAGCCTTCAGGTAAGCCATGAACCGAAACTGCAAAGCAACTCAAGCCTGAAGCCTACTCCAGACCACAAGCGGCGCACAGGCGGCAAGTAACAACACTGAGCTGCTGACGCTTGGGCAGGGGCGCCAATACTGCCAGACGTTTCGGCTTGAAGGCTTTGGGAGGAGGATAAACCCTAAACCCTAAACCCTAAACCCTAAACCCTGAACCCTGAACCCTGAACCCTAAACCCTAAACCGCAGGTTCGGGGGGCCTGGGCTTCCAACTCTCAGATCACACATTCTCAAGGCTTGGGCGGTTCTTCGAGACGGGAGTTCGTGGATTCTGATACCCACGCCCCTGAACTTTACGCTTGCTGGCTCTTCCTTTGGTACAAGGAGGGGCCCCCCCCTAGTTATAAGTAGAGCTATAAGGACCCTAAATTGGGTTACAAGGATCCTAACTTAGGTTATAAGTCCCTTAACTATAGTCCTAAATTGGGTTCTAAGGATCCTAACTTAGGTTATAAGTCCCTTAACTATAGTCCTAAATTGGTTATAAGGATCCTAACTTAGGTTATAGGTCCTTAACTCGAGTCCCTCCTTCATAGGGAGCTGGGGACTTAGACACCACACGGTCTCGCTTGCGCCCGAATTCTGAGTGGGACGAAAGCTACCACAAGGCACGCATGAGCGCCTTGCGAGCAAGCAAGCCCCCTAAACCCTAAACCCTAAACCCTAAACCCTAAACCCTAAACCCTAAACCCTAAACCCTAAACCCTAAACCCTAAACCCTAAACCCTAAACCGCGGCCCCCCTCCCCAAGAAAGACACAAGTTGGCGCGGGTCTGCTCTGCTGGAGGATTCGCTGGCAACAGGCCCTCAAAGGGTTTTCGGGTCTAGGGCCAACAGTAGAAGCCAAAAAGTTGGGAAACTCAGTAGCCTCACTCCTTAAGAGTAAGAGCAAAGTATAGGGAATCCGAGCACTATTTGTCCTTAACAATCCAATATCAATAGCATGTGTTGTTATCTTACAAAGGTATCCAACTTTTTGGGGTTACTGTGGGGTGCCTGCCTCCACTTAGGATGCCTGACACCCCATAAACACCTTCAACCTGAAATCCTATAGAACCCTTCTTTGGAGTAGACCCCCCTTCTTTGGAGTAGACCCTGGAAAAATATATATTGTTTATGGACAAGTAGCCATAGTAGGAACCCAGACGCAAAAAACATAATACAGTAGAGTACTCCAAAACCCGGAACCTGAATCCTGAGCCAAGACTTTGTACCTAAACCCTAAACCCTAAACCCTAAACCCTAAACCCTAAAACCCTAAACCCTAAACCCTAAACCCTAAACTGCCTTCGCGCTCGCCGCTGCACACATTGCAAGCGGACCGCGCGCGCTTGTTGATCTGCCAGGGCAGCTTCGACCGTTGAGGGTTCGGGGAGTATACATGGGGTTTAGGGTTTAGGGTTTAGGATTCAGGGTTTAGGGCTTAGGGTTTAGGGTTTAGGGATGGGGGTTACCGAAAATTAGGGGCACCCTTTTGGGGGTCCCTTTAAGGGGATTCTATCCCATTTGGGGTATAAAGTGCCCCCTATTTTGGGAAATTCCCAGGATGGGCTTAAGATCCACTGTGGGAAGGAGGCCGCGCAACTGTATGCTGCAAACGCGCTGAGACAACACGTCCCGAAAAAGCTGTGCGTTAAGATCACGTGAACAACTCGGTCGCGCCATGAGGGGTTTAGGGTTTAGGGTTTAGAGATTAGGGTTTAGGGTTTAGGGCTTAGGGTTAGGGCACCCTAGATAATCGCTTATGGTTTATGAAGGGGGACATGCGCTACCTATTTCCCTGCGCACGAGGAAGCAGTAGGATCCTGAAGGCCAACCTGCAATCCGTACCATGAGGTTGACCTGACCCTCACAGTACCCATGACCACCTATAGTCCCAAAATCAAAGTATGTAGGCCCCTAAACCCTAAACCCCAAACCCTAAACCCCAAACCCTGAACCCTAAACCCTAGACCCTTCTTCCGGGTTCGTAAAACAGGTTTTTGACATGGCCGGCCTCCCCGCACTTGGGGCACTCCCAGTGACTTGGGGGCACCTGGGCTTCGCGGTACTTGGAGGAAGCCAGGGACTTCGGGGTTTAGGGTTTAGGGTTTAGGGTTTAGGGTTTAGGGTTTAGGGTGTACTTGGTGGAATCGGGGGACTGAGGGATTAGAGTTTAGGGTTGCGGGGACTTAGGGTTTAGGTTTTAGGGCTAAGGGTCTAGGGTGTACTTGGAGGAATCGGGCGACTTAGTAAGTAGGTACTCAGCGATGGCAACCTTTGGTCAGCCTCTGTGACTCCTGGTCGCTACTTTATTTCTCACCATACTGCCCCTTGAGCCTAAACCCTACAAGGACCAAACCCTGAGCAACCCTAAACCCTAAACCCTAAACACTAAACCCTGAACACTGAACCCGAACCCTAAACCCTAAACCCTAAACCCTAAACCCTAAACCCTAAACCCTAAACCCTAAACCCTAAACCCTGAGTCTTGGAGACCTGATCTGATGACAGTTCGCATTCCAGGCTCCCGGCCATGACAAGCTCATACCTGATCTAATCTAGGCTTGTTAGGGTTTAGGGTTTAGGGTTTAGGGTTTAGGGTATAGGGTTTAGGGTTTAGGGTTTAAGGGTTGAGGGTTTAGGGTTTAGGGTCTAGGCTTGCAGGTTGGGCTGTTCCCCCTCATACTAACAGTCCTTCATAGGGATTCCAAGTAAGGCACCCCTATGAAAATCCCGATTAAGGACTGTCAGTATACAGGGGAACATCCCAACTTAAAGGCCTTGATCTGAAGGGCTGCGAGGGGCCAGAATGTCCCAGGGACTGTACCTGGGACCCTTACGGCTGTCCCGTTGGGTTTTGGGTGGACCCGTTTTCAAGATCCTAGAGGTGGTATACGGGCCATGACTACAAGGAGGGGCCCCCTTACTATACTAACTATATAGTTCAGGGACTTAATTATAGCCTAGGTTGGGATCCTTATAGCACAATGTAGGGTCCGTATCACTCTACTTATAACTAGCGGGGGCCGGCCCTCCTTGTAGGTTACTATGTAGTTGTAAAGGGGAACCTCTAAGGGGTACAACGCTAGGGATACGAGCCTTAGCCCCTTGATGATGGGTTGAGGGCTACCCTTGGTAAATCCTATAGATAGTACGTTGACGTGCAGGGCTAAGAGTGGGTTTAGGGTGGGTTTGGAGGGGGTACCCTGGAAGGAGACGTCGTCCCATCATAAGGAACAATCTTTTCTTTTGATAGTTGTGGTGGATAATGTACCCACGGTTTAGGCAACACCCATCCAGAGAGATTGGGGAGAAAGCGCGCCTCCCAGCATCTTCATCCAGGCCGACAACCTGTGGTGAGGAACGGGATGCAACTGGGTACTGTCCTAGGGTGTATGGTGAGTTCTCTGACCTCTGCGTAACTCAAAACTCCTGAGACAAACCAGCTTCCAGCCATACCTACTGCTCCTTGTTTTTCAACACTTAATGCAGGCTGCTGGTCGTAGTGTTGACGACTGCGGGCATCTTGAAGATCCTGACGAACTTGACATCGAGGGAATTGGGAAACACAGTCCCCTTGTCCGGCGAGTTCGTCTGCACACCGTTGTTCAGGACGATGTACATCTCTTCGTCCGGCCAGTCGGCACCGTGTGTGTTTTCGAGGTGGTGGACTTCACGTCCATCTATGAACCATTTAGCATGCGAGTCGGTCCACTCGAAGCCATAAACGTGCCATGCTTTGGCATCGTACGTTGCATCAAAGCGGGGTAGCCAGCTGCTACTCCAGACTTCATTAGGATACCTGCGGGTAAGCAAGTGTGTTCCCATGACATCTGAGCCTTCCTTGCAATGTGTGCCGAAATACCTTGGTAGCCCAGTATCCCATGTTATAGTAAGGGTGCCCTTTGTTGGGTTAGCGCGCTTTATGAGGGAACCTAGGACCCCAAAAAAGGGGAAAAGGGTACCACCGGGCTACCAAGATACTCAAAGATGTCCCATTCCGGCCCCCACAGCAGCTTCTCCGAGATCAGCCAGATCGCCGGCCAGACTTTAGCACCCACAGGGAAGCGCGCCTGGAACTCGAAATAGCCTTTGTTGCTGTGCACCTTGTGCATTGACATGACCCATCCCGAAGTGTAGCTGTATGGGCCATGCGGGCCGGGGGGAGAGGACCCCGTGTATTGGCGCTTCTGGTTGAATAGGCTGAGGGCGCCGTTGGCGACGACGACGTCCTCCTCAGTGATGTACCCTTCGTACTCCTGTGCGGATATTTTGGGGGGCGCGAGCTGAGAAGCGACTGTTCGAACATGTTCGAAGAGGCCACAGAAGCGGTGGGTTGAATTCAAACACTTTCTGAGCATGATCTAGGCTCATGATTTAGCAGACGGTCGCCCTTTGCTCCTGGAACCAGGTCCCCTGTCGCGGGATCACGCAAGCCAATCGTCCAGTTGTCAGCATTCAAAGCGGTTCCCTCGAACGTGTCCTCGAAAGCCAGCTGGTACCCTTCAGGGGCGTAAGAAATAGGCGCCGCTCTTGCTGAGGTAGCGGCTGCTTCATCATTGCCAGACGTAGTTTGGGCATTTTGGGCCGTCGATGAGCCAAGTGCATTTGAGATCCTGCTGCCGTCAGAGGTATGCTGCTCGCTGCCAGGTAAACTCTCGGCGGCGACAGGGGCTGCTGCTGGTGTCTCACTGTCATCAAGCTCACAGTCCATGTCAGCATAATACAAGATTAGGACCCTGCAGAACCATTCGACTAGCTCTAGATTCTAGATCTCTTTCATGTATAATTTGCCCACAGAAGAGAGGCGAACCTCAGCTGTTGGGCATTCTTGCTTTTCATACACTTGCTAAGTTCTTCTGTAGGTAATCAGGGTTCATGCCCTGGCATGCGACAATTGCTGCTGCAACTCAAGGGCTGACATCGTTCTTCATGCACACAAGTTTCTTACCATTCCCCCCCCCCCCCAACAAACCCCGGGACTTTCTTTAGGGCTATAAAGACCCAGGGGGCCTTGTATGCAGATAACCAACTCTTGGTACTTGCATGTATATACTTACAACCCTCCTTGATTTTTCTTACTCCGTTCCCTGCGCCTGCAAACAGAACCCCTAGCCGCCCCAACAAAACTCACAGACCGAACACGTTGACTGGAGATCATGCGATGAGCACGGGAGAGGGCGAGCCCCAAATCCTAAACCCTAAACTGTCTAAACTGTAAACCCCATGCAAACCCTAAACCACTTTGGAACAGCCGGATCCCTTTGCCGCAAGTACCGGTACGTGAAGTCAAATCGGATCTGTGTCTCTCGGAAAGGCCTTCAGGAAACCTTACACCTACACAAAGCAGAAGCTCATAAGCAGTTTGCTTTTGTGCATTGACTGCCAGCCTGCCCGCTCACGGAAGATTGTTCAGACTTGTGCACAGGTTCAGCATGTGCCAAAATTCAGGACGAAGAGGCGAGAATGAGCACACCCACATAAAGTTTGACATCAAGCAAGCCCTGTGAGAATGGTTCTCAAATAGGCTCCTCTTGACCTCGACACAGGAGATGTGTACATGCCATGTTACCCTTGCCATTCCATACTTCTTGGAGATGCTACAGGTGACAGCCCTCCACCCCCTCCCCCCCTCCAAAAACCAAAAAAAAAAAAAAAAAGGCAAATCCCACACACTAAGCTCCTAACAAGACTGAATACCTAGACTCCCCAGAGCCAGAAACGCTGCACTCTGCACCCTAAATCCTACGCCCTAAACCCCCAAACCCTACACTCTAAACCCTAAACCCTGAACCCTAAACCCGAATCCCTAAACCCTAATAAAACCCTAAACCCTAATTCCGAAAGCCCCGCAACCCAAAGCAAAGAGGCGCCTCAAAGCGACGCCCGGAGAGCTCTGGGTTCGATGGGTAGCCCATGAGCTCGACACCTGGGCTAGAGTCTTTACCAGAAGGCTCTTAGTGTGGGGGCGTCCCAAAGTAGCGGCATTAGGGTTTAGGGTTTAGGGTTTCGGGTTTAGGGCTTTGAAACCCGAAAAAGAAGACAATCCCCTGAAAAGGACCCCCGAAAAAGGGCACCCCTGTTTCCGGCAATCCCCATAAACAAGGTACTACATAGGAGTCTTGAGGGACGGGGTTTAGGGCTTTAAGGCTTCAGTCTTGAGTCTTGAGGGTTCCTTAACAAACCCTACTAGAAAGCCCCCTCAAAACCTGAAGACCTCTAACCCCCCTCGCCCAAGCCCTTAGAAAAAGACTGCAGGCCCCAAGTCAATCCGAAAAGCCCTTAAGCCCTGCAAGGAGGGACCTCCCCTTACTATACTTGCGAACTGGGACTTGTAACCTAAGCTAGGTTCCTTCTCACCAAATTTTCAGGGTGCTTAGAAAACTACTTATACCTCGGGGGGTGGGGTGCCTCCTTGTAGTCAAAGACCCTAAACCCGAAACCCGAACCCTAAACCCTAACCCTAAACCCTAAACCCTAAACCCTACCTGGAACGCCAAAGTGTATCTCAAAAAGGATACCTTTTCTAAAGTGACTCTAAAAACTGTCACAGCTAGCTTGTTCACCATTATTTGTATACACTTTCCAAAGTTGTCATAAATAAACATCACAGTGGCAAAGTGTAGCTTTATCTGTTTCATGTAAACCCAGTAAACCCACAATTGCCCCAGATCTATGCTAGGGCCCCCCAAACTGGGGAACGTTACCCAAAATCATTATGTACTGGCTTGATATCATATACTTCTAGGCCATTTAATGCCGACATATGCATATAGTCTGCAGGCAATGCCTTATAATTAATGATCGCATGTCTTTGCCTCGTATAGCCCTTGTGGAGCCCAAAGACCGAAAAGTGCATTCTCATGGGTTCTCCAGGCCACGAGCAGGTCAAACAGATAAGGCCTCTGACTCCTCCATCCCCAACCCTTGCTTCCTAAATACCTACTGGAACCTTCTACTTATGGCTAGTCTACGGGCCGGCAGACCTTGGCTTTCTATGGAACTAGCCACAATGAAACGTATTGCTTCCTACATAGCCAAGCCATTGATATGGGTATTGCCTCCTACGTAGCCGTGTAGCCAGGCCAACTTTAGGAAGCCCATGGAACCCAACCTTTGCCTCCCATGTAGCTAGGCGGTTGAACCCCATGAAGCTATTGAACCCCAACCTTTGCGTTCTATGAAGCTAAATCGTAGGCGAACCTTGTGGAAGCCCCAGCAAATTGAACTTGCCCTTACGCAACCCAGACCTTCAGTTTCTGTGTAGGGAGGCAACCCGGGCACGAAGCTCAAAGTGCATCGTTTATTAATAAAGGATCACTTGCGTTTCTGCAGCATCAGCAGTGGTTTGCGAGGACCCATGATGGTGACGGTGTTGTTTGGCGAATCCAGATAGACAGGTTGTGTCAACTTGGACTGTTTCGGAGTTTTTTCGTTTTGGGTCTCACACAACACTTTTTTGCGCCAAACCTAAAAAGGGTACACAGTGACGCTTTTACGGTGGCGTACGTAGGGCGAAAAGTGGCGTACAAAAGCGTACGAATCGTAGCCATATTTCCGTCACTTTGTCGGTTCAGTTTCTGCCCAAAATTCCCCGAAATCATCCGAGAAAGTTCTCGAAATCCCTATTTTGCACTGTTGTTCTTGGCCCGGGAAAGAACACTTTTGGGGGTGTGTGGGTGCATATGACAAACTTGCCGAAGCTTTTGCTGAATCTGGACACACGAGTGCCGACTTCCCAGTTGGGAGGCTCTGCCTACTTTGTTTTTATTTGGGGCATGCGTCCTTTTGCACATACTGCCTATTGTACACAATCGGTCCATACAGGCTTAAACTAAAAGGTGGTGGTTGCCGGGGTCACAACCCTGATGTCCAACACATTTGCAAGCTATGTGCTGTCGTGTACTTGCAGACTGCCCAGAAGAAGACGAAGTAAGTCTACAAAAAATCTACGACAGCTTTGTAGCCATCAAGAACGTCATGAGCTCCATCTAATAGCAGCCCCCATGGCTGAAACCAGTGGACGCTGGCAACATTGCCATTAAGGGCTTCTACTCACACAGCGCATTAGGACGCAACCATTGTTTTATCGCATTTGGTCAACAGTATGCGAGTTGCTTCAGAACAAGGTGCTGTCAGCTTGCGTGTTGTGCCAAAAAGTTGCCAGTTCCCGGAGCAAATCGGTCAGAATGGAGCATGAGCGCCAATCGTTTTGATTGCCTCAACTGCGCACCGATACCCAGAAGTCGTATCACGATCGCATAATATCGCATACTAAACCCTCAACCCTGCGTGGTGTAGAACGCTTTACGCCGGATTCTTTTGGAAATCCTTTTGTATGTCAGGGTTTAAGTACAACATCAGTGCAGTTGAAAGCATACTTCCATACACTTTCGGTAAGTGGCTTCAGGGAAGGTCACAGTGACCAGTTGCTCATGTTTAAGCTACCCCAGGCTTTCCAGGTAAACCCTAAACCCCCCAAGCCTTCGTCAAGCCTTTAATGGTGGGGCTTGGCTGCCCGCGAGATCCCGGAGGCAGTTTTGGAAGACGCTCCGGCCAGGCCTTCATGGCAAAGTGCAAAAACTGCTTGGGGAGATTGGGTGTAGGGTTCAGGGTTCAGGGTTCAGGGTTCAGGGTTTAGGGTTTAGGGTTTAGGGTTTAGGTTTTAGGGTGGTTCAGGGTGGTTTCAGGGTTGGGGATTTTGGGCGTTTGGTTGCGGCTTTGGGCTTCGTCTTCTACTCCGATGTCCCCTGGTCCCCAAACCCTAAACCCTAAACCCTAAACCCTAAACCCTAAACCCTAAACCCTAAACCCTAAACCCTAAACCCTAAACCCTAAACCCTAAACCCTAAACCTCAAGGAGACCCACGGCCTCCTTCCTTGGAGTTTAGAGGCTTATAGGCTTAAACTAGCAGTTGATGGGGCTAACCCTAAACCCTAAACCCTAAACCCTAAACCCTAAACCCTAAACCCTACTATAATTACGTTTTGGGGCTTGGGAATCCGTTCCCTGAACTGACCGGCCATCGCGATGCGTCGTCGCGGCGGCGGCGGTCGCAGGGGCGCTGTGGGGACCTGGGTCAAAAGAGCTCCAGAGCCGAAGATTAAGCCCCAAGCCCTAAGCCCTACACCCTAAACCCTAAACCCTAAACCCTAAATCCTAAAAACCCTAAACCCTAAACCCTATAAACCCTAAACCCCTCTAAAACTATAAACCTTAAACCCTGAACCCCTGAACACCAAAGTCTAAACATCCATAAAACCCTGCAACCCTAAAACCCTAAACCCGTAAACCCAAAACCACCAAGCCCCTAAACCCCCAGCCGCCCCGTAATGACGACAAAATGCCTTGATTACATCGGCATAAATAGAAATAGAAATAGAAATAGAAATAGAAATATATATATATATGGGCATTTCTCTCAGTGAGGGTCTTTTTTTGAGCCCCTAAATTGTATGGAACACTTATAAGTGAGGACCCCAGATTAGAAGCCTAACTTGAGAATTACCTATATGATCAGGTAAAGATGCCTTAGTTAAGAAGTGTTGAACTCTCGGGGAGCAAGTGACATGGTCCCGTATCTACCCCTCACATACCCCATAAAACCAAACACCCATACTTCGGACCCTTTCCAGAACATCACGGGGTCACGCAACTTGCCTTATGGTGTACCTGAGACTCGATTTACCTACAGTGTTGCAGTAACTACCCCT